GGTGTCAGAAAGTGAGGACCGGCCAAAATGTCCTCACTTTGTTGAGAAAATACTATTTTGGTCCTCACACACACACACACACATTGACTTACCTTAACCTTAAAACATGCCTTCACCTTAAAATGAAATGATTTTAATTATGTGGACTTGTTTCTTGTCTTCATAAGGAACACAAGTCCCCGTAATGTGGCTGTGTAGACAGATTTAGGTCCCCACAACATGTGTAATATGAACCACACATGCTGTACATACAGTGGCTTTCTAACCTCCTCTAACTGTTGTAATACTTACCTCATAAGCATTATCTCCGACCAAATCCAACAAATTTATTTCTTATCATTTAGTTAAATTGATTTCTTGTAAACATGCACCCTGAGTTCGGTATCAGCTAATTTCATGGTCATGACTAAATGATAATGTAAAATCCCAGATTCACATAAACACCCAATCTAATCTATTCGTTTCCAAATAATATCATGGCAGACTGAATAGGAAATTGAGAAGGTGAAACCCCTAATGGTACAGTAGGCAAAGTGTAACTTCTTGGCATTGGGTGAGATTTGTAGGCCACCAGACTATACAGTCTGGCAGCAGCGGAAGCCACCTTGCATTTGTGGTTAAGCCTCATTTTGGCCTAGTTTATACCCTTACACATCATCAGCTCCCTCTGAGCCCACACATGGCAACACAGATGAAGGGATGATGAGAAGGAAACCAAAATCTTGTGATGTGGATTTTTTGATTCTTCAAGAACTTGCACCTGTGATCGTGTCACCAGCCAAATATGAAAATGGAGCTCGTCACATAAACATGACATCTTGTTTGCCTACTTCCTCCACTTCCTCCCTCCTTGCTCTCCCACCCTCCTCCTCGCCCTTCTTCCTCCCATCCTCTCCTTCCTGCCCCTGAGGTAATCTTTGTCTGCATTGTGGCTGAGCTCCACTGCGTGATGACCGCACAATCCTGGGATTTCATGACGCAATCCCTGAGCAAAATCAGCAAAGAACAAAAGAGGGCTTTTTTAAAGTGTTCTAGATATCGCAGGGGGAGTTACATGTAGGGAATATGTCACCATACGATTAGGAGGGGACTGATAAAGATTCAGACACACAGAGGAGGGAAAAGGGCACGTAGATATGAATGCTCAAACTGGGGAGGCTTAGTTTCCAGGGTTATAATTCCCCCACTTCATGAAAAGAGGCATTTGTCTCCTGGAGGAATCCAGGGGGAGTTTGTGAGTTACATATTACAGATGACCTCTGACTGGGAAAGTGAATGTCTCTTTTTTGTTTTTTTTTTTGTCAGCTTGGAAAGGTTCAACGGATTGTGGAGCATAATAAGTATCCTCAGTTTCTCTAATTTTCTGGTGAGGGTTTCCCCATTATCCCTCAAGTTTTCCCATCAAATATCCTTTTCTATGTCCAATCATAAGACCAGCAGCCTCCTTTTTAAAGCAGTTTTAAGTGATTGTTTCTTTGCAGGCAGAAAGCAGAATTTCATAGAGACAAACCGTAGATCTCCTCTTAAAACTACTTCTGTTATCAGTCCATCTTACTACAGATATATTCTCCCAAAATATGGTCATCTCTGCATGTTTTGCATTTATGTGCCTGCACTATTTCCACTATCAACACTGCTGTGGGTTATGGAGTTGTATATTTTTAATGTGAGTTTTGATGAATTAGTTAGTTCTGATTCCCCATTTTACTGTAACATATTTGGAGAAAGAATGTCTTTATGGATCTGAAAATCCCGTCACGACTGGAGACGTAGCCCATATATGAGCTTCCTGCACAGTCTGAGCACACCGGATATGATAACCAAGAACTTAACGCGACGAATCTTCATATGAATAATCAGGAGGTGGTGGGTGAGTGAGCAGGAGGAACTGTAAAGAAGCAATGTATATATTTGTTTGTGTGTGTGTGTGTGTGTGTGTGACATGTGGGCGCATATGATGATGGTTACTATGATATCATCCTGCAGCATCTTGCGGTCGGTTTGTATTTGCATGCTGGAACGAAACAGTCATGGTCGGACCGGGAGGTGCAATTTCAACTCTGATTTCATAGACAACACACACACGTACACACTTGTTATTATTCAGCGTCGCAGCACTGGAGTCCTGACAGGTTTCACTCAAAGCCATGCTGCAGGGGCAGGCCCACAGGGGATGGCCAGGGGAGCGGTAGGTAGTCGGCCTATCAGTAACATGAATGAATTAGTGAACAGGCTCACAAAATGACCACAAAAAGACTTTTACAATATCAGTCACAAAGTTACAAAAAGCCAAACCAACCACAAAGATGAAAAGAACCACAAAGGAACTAAATATGACTGTAAGACACACAAAATGGCCACAAAGAGACGAAAAATGACCAGACTGAAGCAAAGAATTACCACAAACTGTCCCAAAAATGACCACAAAGAGACAAAAAACAGTGTCAAAGAGGAACTAAACAACCACTAAGGGATGAAAAATGACACAAGAGACAAAAAACAACCATTAACAGACAGACAACGACCAAAAAAAAGAACAAAAAGACAAAAAAGACAAAAAATGATCACAAAAAGGAATAAAATGACTACAAAGAGACACAAAATGTTCAGCATTCATTTCTCGTTCTGAATAACTGATGTAATTATTAATAATGTACAGCATTATTTCCAGGAACTGGGGCTTTAAAAGTGAGTCCTAACACTTTCACAAGTCTTATCACCCTCCCTCGGGGGCCCTGAGCAGAGAAACTAGTACTATATAAGGGAAACTTAATATGAAACACATTCATAAGTGTTGCTAAAAAAAACTCTGCCACAAGAAAAAGGAACCTGGCGGGGGGCATTTCAAGCATGTGTGATAAAAAGCCCAGACTTAAATGTCCTGTCTCAAACACAAAAGGTCAGGTGAGAAAGTGAATTGGGGAAACTGAGGTTGAGAAAATCATCAACAAGCAGAAGTGTAAAAACCTGTTTGTCCAGTGGTTTGAACGGAGTTACATCATGTCCCAGTTCTGAAACAGAAAGACGAGCGCTGCCAAGTTTTTCTTTCACACGGATTTCTCTTTTGAGACTGAATGAGATTCCAAGACTAAATTGTGCCTTAAATTAAATTCACTATGTCATAAGGAAAAGGAAAGTCTGAGAAAATCCACAGCATGGTACTCCAGAGGCACTTTCGAGATAGTCACGATAAATCAGTGTTTAACTGAGATTTTTATTAATATTTTACTTCTTATAACTTATTACTTCTGCTTGCATCTGATCACATGTTGCTGTTTGTCACAGTTTTTACTGTATATCTTGTGTTTTCAGGAATCTTGATGTATTATCCTAAATCTTTACTTTATGTAGGTGTAAATATTTTCATTCAGATCTCTGATGAAAACTAGATCTTAATCTCAGCAGGATTTAACATGACTTAAAATTAAGGTTATGTGTAAATAAGATAAGAAGAAGATAAGATAATATGTTGCACACCATGTGTAAAGCACATGACTGTCACTGTGTTTACAGTTTAGGTGAATTCTTATCGTGCTGTAAAGTTAATGATTAAAATGGCTGTAGCACTTTAACCACTCTGTTTATTTAGCATTTACAGATTTATAACACGCGTTTGTTAATGCGTCGGTCAACATCTATAACTCCTCCAGTGTGGAAGGGAAATAGTAAAAATAGTAAAAACGCTATTGTAATAATATGAAATATATCTTCATACGCAAATGATATATATACATATATTGAATTTCCATATATGACTTATGTATACATATAGAATAAAAGAACATATGTAAAAATTCTAAATCAAAATTAAAACAATTTCATACATTGACATGAATGTCTAGCCCCTACAAATATGTATGATGATGTGTGTATGTTTATATTGTAGACATATGTTATTTATATATACAGTATATCCATCTTAAAGCCTGTCAATATATGTTGATATTATACAGGCTACAGTAGGGTCCAAAAGTCGGAGACTGCTTTCCCAGAATGGGAAGATAGACATGTAAACATATATAAGCATATAGAATTTTTATATGTATGTGTTTAAAGAAACTTACATAAATATATATTATTAACATATATGCTCACAACACGTTAAAATTAATCATATAGATATTCTTAATATATGTACTTACACATACAGTATCTTGCTGTGGGTATTTCATATATGTTATAAACTTATATCTTCATATATTCAGAGGATATACAGTGACAATCATATAGGTGACACATATGGCAACAGCTCTCTTGATATATATATGACATATTTGTCATAAATTAAATTTCTGTAAGTTATAATTGCTGACAAATGTTGCAAATGAATAAATGCTTATATCTGCTTGTGTGTGTGTGTGTGTGTGTGTGTGTGTGTGTGTGTGTGTGTGTGTGTGTGTGTGTGTGTATGTGTGTGTGTGTAAAGTGTTACCAAAATAGGCGATGAACAGGTTGATTGTTTCTGTGATCTCACATTTTTGTGGCGTTTCAAAACATCTGGTCTGATGTGACCTCAAAATGTTGGTGAAATTGAAGTGAAGTGTAAACCTCAGCAGTTACAGAGAGAACTTACATTCTGTGGGTGTCTCGAGCCAGTAATTAACTCAGTGTGTGTATATGTGTGTTTATGACTTTGCGTCTGCCGGTATTTGTGTTTATGCATGAATTTCACTGCTTGTGCGTGTGTGTGTGTGTGTGCGTGTGTGTTACAACACTGTAATTTTTTTAAAAACCCAAAAGCAGCCACCAAAAACTATCCCTTCATGAAACCGCGACTCTCGTTGGTTTCCTTACTTCACTGAAACTCCACTAAAAATTCGGTGACTTCTCTTTCCCTCCCGGCCGCGGCTCTTTTCTCTCCATGGCCCAGGTTGCTCTGCTGCAGCCTCCTGTCTCCGCTTACAGAGTGACATCACTGGAGTTTCCCTTCTGCTGAAGCAGCTGCCACAGCATAAATACTACAAGCTCTCCGGCATAAGTTCACTCTAACACAATAGCAACACAAAGAAAGAAGTATCACCGCAGAGCACTGGAGGCACCTGAAAACACAGACACAGCATTCAAGCCAAGCGTTCAGAGTTGTGCACAGTATGGCGGACTACACAACCGCACCAAGCCACGTGGAGTTGGCACTCGAGGACAGGACGGTGATTTTGGTAGAAAAGAAGTCATCTACAGAGTGGATATGGAAGGTGTTGGGGGCTCTTCTCGTTGTGGCCCTTTGTTTGGGAGGTGTCCTGCTGTTTGCTTGGTACTGGAACAGGCCAGAAATGATGGTAAGAAGAAGCTCTGTCTCTGAATTTGATGACAAAAAAAAAGAAAAAAGAGAAAATGTATATGCATCTCTAATCAATCTGTTTCTCCCCTCCAATCCAGACACAGTCAGGCCAAACAGAAGCACTAATCGAGAAGGACTCTGGTGAGAAAACAGGTGATTATACACATGGTTGCTCACTTTTAAAAAACTTCTGAGAGGTTGTGTGGGATGTATTAAAGTCTTTGCGGGTTTTTTGAGACAAGCTCACATTTGTCCTCCTCTCTTCAGATCCCCACTACACGCTGAAGCGAATCAGCAGCAAAGCCAAGGCAGCCATCCATTTAGAAGGTGAGTCACAGCCTACCTTGAGTTGGTTCTCAGCAAACAAAGGGCTCATGATCTTGGCTTTCAAAAGAGCTTTTCAGACTCTGTCTTCCACTTGTGTGATTTCTGTTGCTCCCTTACAGAGGTGTGTTAGCCAGGAGCACCATAAGGAAGTTGTTGCATTAGTTATTCATTGCCTTTCATTCCATTTTCTGAACAAAATACCTGTTTATCATTCGCTCCTGTGTTTTAAACCCTGGTGAGAAGAACTCCAGTAACGATGCTTCTTCTTCTTCTTCTTCTTCTCTGTTTCCAGGTAGCTACGATGACGAGGACAAGAGCTCGAAAGTGGAGCTGGAGTGGAAGAATGGTCAGGGCCAGGCGTTCGCTCAGGGCGGCTTCCTGCTGGCTAACAACCAGATCGTCATCCCGCGAACCGGCCTCTACTTCGTCTACAGCCAGGCGTCGTTCAGAGTCTCCTGCAGCGATGGCGAGGAGGACGAGGCGGGAAAACGCTTCATGCCTCTCAGCCACAGGATCTGGCGGTACTCAGACTCCTTGGGCGGCAAAGCGTCTCTGATGAGCGCGGTGAGGTCGGCGTGCCAAACCACTGCCCAGGAGGAGGACAGTTACAGAGACGGACGGAGCTGGTACAACGCCATTTATCTGGGTGCAGTGTTTCAGCTGAATAAAGGAGACAAACTGTGGACGGAAACCAACCAGATATCAGAGCTGGACACCGATGAGGGCAAGACTTTCTTTGGTGTGTTTGCACTTTAAATGAAACGACTCTTTGTTCTGATACTAATGGAGAAGACACACAGTGCCAATGGTGTTGGCTTTTTTTAACATTTTGTTTTATTTTTTTTATCACTATTCATCTTCATGGTGACATAGAAATGTTTAAATCTCAATGGAGATAAAAGTTGTGTTGATTTCTAAAAATGTTTTATGAACTGTAACAGTTTGCAACATTACTCTTATTTTAGGCACTTTTTGTACATTATTTATGCTGAGATTGTAGGAGGCTAGACTTTCTCTGCTGTACCAGATGACGACACAGCTCTTCACTGCAGAGCTGAGGTTCAACGATTATGTACATAACTATTATCTCCTACTATTGCAACCTATACGTATTTATTTGTATTTATTTATATTTAAAATGTTGAGATTAGGTGATTAAAGATGATATTTATGTACTTTCTATGCACTTAAACTTGATTAAAAAGCAAAAAGAACAATGACAACAACCAAATCAAAATACTGTGTCACTACAAAGGAGGAATATGGTTTCATAGCTGAAATACCAAAGCGAAAGTTGTAGCTGAGTCGGCAAACAGCCCCAGCCAGCCAGGGCAGTAGCTCTCTCACACACACACACACACACACACACACACACACGCACACACACACGCACACACACACGCACACACACACACACTACAGCAGACTTGTATCCATTATTTGGCAAAGAGCTGCAATGAAATTCCTCCACCGCCAGCAAATACTTCCTTTGTTAGATCAGACAAGACGAGGGGAATTTCCTACTTTTCTTGAGTCGGACTGAGTGCTGTGTCAGGTGGAGGCCCACAGAAGCCTCAGCCCAGAGCGGGTTTTTCCCACTGACACCCCCCCCACCCGCCCCTGCCCCTGCACACTCATACACACTCACACTCACACTCACACACACACCCTGCAACCTCCCTCCACACCACCAACCACTTTCCCTCTATTACCACATACTTCAGCTTCAGTCAGCTGGAAAGAGACACGACATGTGAGGGAGTGTGTGATTGCATACAGTGTGTGTGTCTATGAGTGTTCCCGGGGTCACGGGGCAGCAGCACAGCTGTTTTGTTTTATTTTTCCAGACATTGTCATCAACTAAAAACACACATTACACAAATATCGGATGCACTTGGGAGCAATTTGTCTATTTTTGTTTCATTTATCTACAAACATCCACTTATTGTCTCAGTAATGAGGTTCCCACTGGCCTCAGCAGCTGGACGCTGTGCTGAAAACCACTTCCCACTTTCGGCTAATGATCTCCTCTTCGGGGTTTATTTACTCTTTGGCTCCCCTGGGTCAACCTGGTGAAAACTATCAGCAGAGTTAATTGCTTAAAGGTCGTCATGAGTCAGAAAAGCGATAAATGACTGGTGACATCTAGTGGATGGTGTAAACAGGCTCGGCTGTGTAATCCAACAGGACATTGAGACTTTTGTTTTAAAGTTAGGGAGCTGTTTTTACAAAAAGGTTTACGTTTCCAAATTAATTGAGAAATTGTGGGTTCTATTTAACAAATATGATCTAGCTGAGCTGGAAGCTGCTCCACGTTTCCCCTGATGCAGAATCACTCAATCACCATCACTGAAACACAACAATACCATGTGAAAAAAACAATGATTTTATTTATGGTACCCATATATTTGCATACACATACTCTGAAATATATTAACATTTAAGATCTTAGATATAGTGAATACAAATATCCCCAAATCCATGTATATATTGTCATATATGTGCAAGATAATAGAACATTTCCTAAATTATTTCTGCATTCATATGTTACACTATCTGATCCATGAACTGCACAGTTAATAAATATGGCCTATTTCATTCATTTATGACTGTCCTGCTCCATACCCTGAGCTAAAATGTATTAGAATATCAGCAACATAAAGTGGAGTAACCATAGTTTGTTCAGTTTAAAGTGCACACTGAAGTGTATATATATATATATATATTATATATTTAAAAACATTTGTCAAAGTATTGTTTTACCTGTTGATAAAGCTGTTCAGGTTGCTTTATAAAATCTGGAAATAGCTCATGAATGAAATAGTACATCCAGATTAACTGCTGAATAAATACAGTATGTCACATTGCTTATATCCTTCTTTGATACATTTACAGTTATTGAAAGGCAAAATGAGAAAGAAAAGTACAAAAAAAGAAATATGAGTATCCATCCAGATTGTCTGTTATGGGAAAACATAAAAAAAAACATCCCTTTAAAATAAAAAGGCTCACAATAATGACATGTAACAGATTCACATGTATAAAAACTGTGCTTTCACTGAATATCTACAGAAACAGCCATCGTAGAAGCCCCACACCTCAGCGCACTGCTGCTGTAGAAATATAAACTGCCTTTTATTTTCAGGAGGCAGTAAGTACAAACTATTCTTCTGGCAAGTTGGAATTTGGAGTTTTGTAGTTTTGGATTTTTATATCCCTCACAAAACACAACAATCAGCTGCAGCAGGAGCCGGTAATATCTGCAAGATACTTTAGGTGCAGGTTGTGGGGTTTATTTGTTGGCTACGACTGTACTGCACTGCTAAGGAGAAACAACACAAATCTAAAAAAAATACATTGAAAAACATTATTTCAAATGGCAAAACTATCAAAAATGTCCTTAAACATCAGCAAGCTTTGATCATTTTCTCCTTTAAAATGTGTCCTATATTCATACATCAGCAAAGGACTGGGTGTTAAAGATGCAATGCTGTACTTGAATACACAGTCCTGACAACAGACGTCCATACATGCCAAGCTCCTTGGCCCTTCTAAGTTATGGCTATTTAATAATGCACATTATCACTTTTCAGTGAGACCAGTATTCCACACAGTCGAGTTCAGACGCTCTTCAGAGGAAACATTGGAAAAAACTGTACATTGCTTTGTCCCTTTGTAAATTTCAGTTTTCACAACTCTCCAGAAAAGTAAACAAATAATTGAACAACAACTCCATGACAAAACAGATCAGATATTACAGAACAATATAAATCACTACTGTATGTGCTTGTCTAGTCACAAACTCGAAAGACAAAAGGTGGAGACGATATAGCAAAGACACAAACACAAACGTTTCCTTTTAAGATCCTCGACGCGGCGTCTCCACAACAGAACGAGAAAACGAATGAGGGAGAGGAATGTTGAAGAGATCTGTCCATTGGCGCGTCCTTTCAAAAAGGACCTCGAGTGCTGCTAGCCCGGAGATGTGCTTGTTGCCGTGTCGACCAGTCACAAGTGCCTTGTTGCTGAGTTGAACACAGTGAGATCAAAACTGTGAGGACGGGTGTTACCTGTGTGACTCTCCCTGAAGCTGCCAAGTGTAAAGCCACTCCTGTGTACTTATTTGTGCTTCCGCGCCGTATTTTAAAACAGTGTCACTACACCGCTGTGCTCATCGCCCAAACAAGTGAAAGTCACAGTGTCTCCTTGTGTTTTGTGTCCCCTGTGTGCACTGTGTGACTGCCCCCGCCCCCCCCCCCCCCCCCCCCTCTCTCCCGTGCCTCACCTATTTATACAGCAGTGGGATCTGGCTGTTGTGACAGTGGTTGCGGCTCATCTTGCTGTCTGCTGGGTAGAGGTTGGAGGAGTTGGAGAAGGAGGGCGGGAGGGAGTGATTGTCCGTGGAGGGGTTGGGGTAGCCGGGCGGGGGAAGCAGAGACTTGGGATCCGGCTGGGACGAGGGCGGCGGGGCGTTGTGGTTCTGATTCTGGCCTGTGGAGGGTCGGCGGCGGTTACGTAGCGCCTGTCGCTCAGCCAGCTGGTTGCGGAGCGCTGATACCCTCTCTTCTTTCTAAAAACACGACGAAACAAACTCTCTTTGTTTAGCATTTATAAACAGTATATAAACATTCAGTGGTTTATAACAATAAAATGTAGTTGTAAGCAGAGGTTGACAAAGTACACAACTCCAGTACTTGAGTCAGAGTAAAGATACTCCTGGTCAAATATTACTCCAACACAAGGGGAAGTTGTTCAGTCAGATTTTTACTGGAGTACTTGCTTTTAAAAAGACTTCAGTATTCAAAAGTACATTTTTATGTCAACACATTGTCGTATTGTTCCACATTTACAGAACTTCATGACTCTGAAACAACCTACTGACTGAACTGACTGACTGCAGAACCTGTACAATAAAAAGCTTGTTGAACATGATACAAAGGAAACGGCCATAAAAACATTGACTCAAAAAAGGAGCCATTGTCGTTTTCATATTTCTTTTTTTTTTTTTTTTAGGCTGTGATGAAGTTTGGTTTTGGTACACGACAAACATTTAAAACAAAAAGGAATCTTCATTTATTTCTAACATTTCAAACATGAACTTAAGATAAGGCCGCGGTGCTCCGGTGAGGAATCTTCCTCATGTTTATCTAACGTAGCCATCGTTAGGACACTGACAGCTTCAAACTGAGCTGCTCACAGTTGGCTGAGATTGGTTTTTCTCCTGTGATGAACACAGCATATGGTCTATCACATCTTTTAAAGTAAAATTTAATTCATGTCACCGACTAAAAGCTCTGTTTCAAAGTGATACGTCATAGAAAATGTAGAGGAGTCTAAAGTACAATATTTGTCTCTAAGTGTAGGGGATTAAAAGTCATACATTTCCAAAAAAAGTAATACTCAAGTAAAATACAGACACTCGAAAAATCTACTTAAGCACAGTAGTGAAGTAGATGTATTTCGTTACTGTCCAGCCCTGGTTGTAAGCACATGTATGCTTTTATTAACATATTTGTCAACAGCTCTAACTCCTCCTGTGGACACCTGTAAGGGGAGGCTGCTGTATAAACAGATATTGAACGACACTATATCGAAACACAGATGCAATAATATAAAATATGAGTAAGTGAGTAAATAGAACTCCTGGAATTCAAATTCCACAATACATCATTTAGCATGTCCTCCTCTCTCTGCCGCAGACTCAGCTTTAGGCTTAGCTGTGTATAGTCCAATACAGACGGAGTGCAATAAACTTTACTAATATTTTTAAAGTGTATAAACCTACCGCACATACCTCTGATATATGCTTCCATTGTGTCAAATATTAAAACCTATCTTATTCTGAAGTTACAACATCCAAATCCTTCTGCACAAGCACTGAATAAAAGAAGAATGCTTCATGCCTTTTTCCATAACTGTCAGTGTGAAAGCAACCTCACATGTAATCAATGAGTCAATCAGCAGAAAAGTCATCTGCAAGAATTCTGATGATTGATTAATGGTTTCACTCATTTTCTGAGCGGAAAAAAAAGGCCAATACTCTCTTGTTCTAGCTTCTTCGATGTGAGGACATGCAGCTTCTTTTTCTGTCTTACACAACAGTCAATTAAAGATCCTTACAACTGGTGCTGGACAGTTGGTTTGACAAAACATGCAAACTGAAGGCGTCACCGCGGGGTGTGTAGCACAGTGAAAGTCAACTGATGGTGACATT